ATCCAGATTCAGCCAAAAGCAAGTACGCTTTGCCTGAGCTCAATATATGGAAACAAGACACACTCCTGAGAAAATTTCCTTTGGATAGATTGGCTGCTTATTGCAGATCTCATTATGGGGAAATGCTACATTTTATCTGCCAAACCACTGAGAATCCTGGTCCAGTCAAGTTGACACAAACCTTGACACAAACCGTGTTATGATGTATCTCATGAGTCTTCATTTTCCTTTAATGTGACCTAGTATTTCACTGCATATCTACCAGATTTTTAAAAATTATTCATCAATTTTTTTTCTATCTTTTTGATATTGTGACTTAAACTGTGATGAATAGAAGGTGCATGTATCTATTCGTGTCATGGCACTTATTTCTCCAGGATATATATATATATATATATAACTTTTGTAATGGGGTTGCTGGGTCATATTGTTTTATATTTCCAACTTTTTAAGGAAGTGCATTTTCACAATGGTTGTACTATTGTACAATCCAACCAGAAGGGTAAGAGAGTTCTAATCTCTCTACAACCTTTCCAACTTTTAGTGTTTTCTGTTGTTGTTTTTTTTTTTTTTTAACTTTGCAATTATGCTGGAGTGAGATGATATCTCATGGCTGCTTTGATTTGTTTCTCTCTAATGGAGTCTTGGTATGGCAGTGTGGACTAATGCATCAGACTGCAAAGTTGTCTGAACTGCAAAGTCGGTGGTTTAAGCTCACCAGCTGCTTCTTCGAAACCCTATACAGGGTCACTTTGGGTCAGAATTGACTCAACAGCACTTAACAACAATAGCAACAATGGCTAAACGGGGTCCTGGTGTGACACTGTGGGTTAATGCGCTGGACTACAAAGTCAGTTTGAACTGCAAGGCTGGTGGTTCAAGCTCACCAGCCACTCATTGGAAACCCTATACAGGGTCCTGAAGAGTTGGAAATGATTCGATGACACTTATCAACAACAACAATGGCTAATGATTGTGAGAATTTCTTCATGTTGTTGGCTGCCTGAATGTTTTCATTTGCGAAGTGTCTGTTCATGTCCTCTTTGGCAACTGGTTTTTATAACCTTGTGAGTCATTCAAGGGAGCCTGTGATACACAATTTCTTGAGTTTTCATTTTCATCTTGGCTAAAACTATTTTTTCCATCTTCTGCTGAAGTATTGTCATGCTCAAGTAAGAATTTCCTGAACTTGTCTCTGGGAAAGCTATGAAAGAACAAAGAACTTTAATGTCTGACAGATTTCAAATTACTAAAGCTCTGCCATTTTCATTTCAGTTGCATATAAAACTGCAACGAGAAATGTAAGGTTAAGTCATACACCAACCTGCTCCTAAAATAGATTATACAGGTCATAAAACATTGTCAACAATGATTCCACCTACTGCTATTGAGGTGATTATGATTCACAGTGAGCCTATGGAACAGACTACAACTGCCCCATGGGGTTTCCAAGGTAGTAAATCTTGACAGAAGCAGACTGTTATATCTTTCTCTTGTGGAGTAGCTGGTGAGTTTGAACCTCTGACCTTTGGTTAGCAAGCAAGAGTTTAAGCACTGAATCATCAAGGTCCTTCAGCAATGATATTGTTGTTGTTGTGTGCCGTGGAGTCGGTTTCGACTCATAGCGACCCTGTACAGGGTTTCCGAGGCTGTAAATCTTTATGGGAGCAGAAAGCCTCATCTTTCTCCCACGGAACAGCTGGTAGTTTCGAACTGCTGACCTTGCGGTTCACAGCCCAATTTGTAACCACTACGCTACCAGAGCTCAGCAATGATAGAATTGTGTATTTGTTGTTAGTTGCAGTCGAATTAGCTCTAGGTTACAGAGATCCCATGTACAACATAATTTAAATGTTGCTTGGGATTCTTGGTGTGGCGTTGTAGGATAAGCACTAGTCTGCTAAGCTCAAGGATGGTGGTTCAAATCCACCATGTGCTCCTCGGCAAACCTATAACTCAGAACTGACTCCCTGACACTTAACAACAACAAATTCCTGCACTATTGTCACATTGTTGTGGCCACTGTGTATTTTGAATGCCTTCATACTTACAGGGTTCATCTTCCAACACTACATTGGACAAAATTCTATTATGATCCTGTGGGACCTTGAGTTTACTTGATATGGCTTTTCTACCCAACATCTTCTTAATTCCCACCAAGTGATTAGATGGAACCCTGTAGCCAAGGCTAGTTTTGCCATCCAGTCAGGTTTAGAAGGAGCCATCTCAGAAGCATGAACAGACAATCCCAGGACCATTAAGAAAAAAGAGCATGAGTGGAGTGTTATATTTCTACCTAAAAAAGTGCAACAGCAAAGGTGGTGGCAGAGGCGGCAGCATGGAGCAGCTGTGGGCATCTAGGTCCATGGACTGAATAAAGTTGCATGCTTATGGATAGGAAGCTGGATTGCAAAATGTGCCCTTTGGGTATTCACAGACTGGCTAACAGGACTTTGTAACACTTGCCTGATCAAGGCAGAGGTCAAGGGGCTACAGGGCTGAGAAGTCAGATACAAGAATGAGGCGTGTCTGCAGTATGGCAGAGAAGAGGCATTCCTGATTGGAAAACTTCTGTGTTTTGAGTTGGTTTTGATCTTGAATTTTGTGACTATTCACTTCTCTTGTTATGAGTTCTGTGTGATTATTGCAATGGATTTTTGAACCCAGAAGTGAAGCAGAGTATGCTGTGGGAGGGATGGTTGGTGTCAGAATAGGGTAAAGAAGATTATAGGGTGAAGGCATATCTGAATCCCACTTCTGTAGTCTGCCTTAGTTTGAAAGCGCCACTTAAACCTATCTACCGTAACTGACCCTCTCATATTTGAACTACTGTAGCATAGCTTTCAGCATCATAGTAACATAGAAGTTACCACAATGCAACAGACAGAAGACAGGCCATAGAAAGCTGTAGATAGTCCAAGTTAAATGAATAATGATAGTGGCATTAATAATGCAAATAATAATGTGACCACCTGACATTTGATGTTTAATATTTTCTATATTTAGTCAGAAGTCCTTACGTATAATAAATCATTTAACCCACACAGCAATTCCCATTTGAAACAGAGATACTTGATCTATAGCAATATTAGATGATCCAAGGTTTCAGAGCAAGGCAGTGGTGGAATTAAGGCTCAAATCTAGGCTGTCTGATCTCAAGGGCCCTGTAGTGGAGAACTTTGAGAAAGTCATTTCATTAACATGTGAGTGGCAGATACAAGTACTTTTGGTTGTGGATAGTAAGTGGTGAGGAATTAAAGTCAGAATAGATAATTAGTTTAAGGTATTTTCTTCATTGATCAAATATTTGAATGCCTATTATGTACCAGTTCCTATTGTGTGCCATCAAAACTATGGTGTAATCCTTGCCCTGGAATTCTCAGGCTCAGGGACTGAGAAAAAGGGATTGAAAACATCATAAAACCTTGAACAGGAAGCAAGACTCAGCAAAGCTCTGCTTTTCTTCTTAATTCAATGATAATGCAGATTTATGCATATTTGTAAAGGAAGGGAGAATTTGAAAACTCACCACAGATTCCTCTATCAACCTCCAGAGAGTGTTAATTTTCTTTTCTTTTTGAAAGTGCTAATTCTGGTAGCGTAGTGGTTACAAATCGGGCTGCGAACCCTAAGCTCACCGGTTCGAAACTACCAGCCACTCCGCGGGAGAAAGATGAGGCTTTCTACTCCCGTAAAGATTTACACCCTCGGAAACCCTGTACAGGGTTGCTATGGGTCGGAACCGACTCGACGGCACTTAACAACAACAACAACAATTTTCAATAACAGTAGCTCCTATGTATGTTTAAAACATACCAACCAATTGGTGTCATAGATACTTGGCATTTATATGGTTAATATGAATGTTATAGATTATTAAATTCAGTTGTTGGAAGATGGTTATGTGCTGGGGAGTTGGTTCTGACTCATAGCGAGCGATCCTGCATAGGGTTTTGGAGGCTGCAAATCTTTACAGGAGCGGAAAGCCTCATCTTCCTCCTGCAGATCCACTGGTAATTTCCAACTGCTGATCTTGAGATTAGCAGCCTGATTTGTAGTCCTGGTGTGGTGCTGTGGGCTAATGTGTCAGACTGCAGTCTTTTAAACTGTAGGGTCTGTGGTTCAAGCTCACCAGCTGCTACTTGGAAACCCTATACACGGTTGCTATGGGTAGGAATAGACTCAATAACAACAAAACTATCAGAACTCCTTAAATTCCGTTAGAAGCGTATTTTAGGTCAGAAAATCTTTTTCTAGATGCCCACATGGATTCAACTTGACAGTTTGTAGTAGTAGTTTCAATGTAGTATTTTTCATGTCCTTGTCACCTATTTCTAGGAGTCCTGGTGTGGCGCTGAGGATTAATGCGCCAGACTGCGAAGCGGTTTGAACTACAAGGTCAGTGGTTCAATCTCACCAGCTTCTCCTTTGAAACCCTATACAGGGTCACTATGGGTTGGAATCGACTCAACGGCACTCAACAACAACAACATCACGTATTTCTACTGCCTTACGAGAGTCCTAAGTGTGATGCTTCGGGTTAATACGCTGGACTGCAACGTCGGTTTGAACTGCAAGGTTGGCGATTTGAGCTCACCAGTCAGTCACTCCTTGGAAACCCTATACAGGGTTACTATGAGTTGGAACCGATTTGATGGCACTTAGCAACAACAACAACAACTATTATGTTGTGCAAACCTCTTTATAATTATTGAGGTCTAATTTTTTAAAGAAATTTTCTCCAAGGCCAAAAAGTTAATAAACACTAGACAAATGGAATTAATTAAATTAGTTTGTATATTAATGAATTAATTTCCTGTATCCCCAAACCATGGATTTGCCATGAAGACATATGATGATTAAAAACAAAAATTGTTATTATAGCTTAATAAAATAGGTTCTGCAGAGACTACCTTGTTTTTGTTATAAAGGGTGTTGTTTCAAATGAGGGCATGGAAACCAGCAAATGTTGGCTTCTGTTTTTGTTGTACACCTTCCAGAAGTTCTCAACTGAAGACTCTATGCTCTGAAATTCTTTCCACAGAGAGCTGACTGATATTTGAAGAAGTATTTTCGTTTCTCCAAGAAAAAATAAGATGTATCTTTCTGAAGTCTCACTATTGTCCTTAAATATTTGTATTTTTATTTATGCAGATGCAATACAAGTTAACTGTGTGCATCATTCTAAGGTAAGAATTTCAGCAATATTACTTTTGCTAGGAAAATACAACGAGATAGTTTTAGAGATCTATTCTAGGGTTTTTAAAGGTTTATTACGTTACAGACTGTAATTTATAGAACACCTCACATATATACTTAGAAATGTTGAGATGTCTCTTAAATGATCATATGGTTAGACTTAGGAAATGACATTTCTTTTGAAAATATGTTAAAGAAATTGCAGACCTAGGTTAAAAACTAGCCAGTGACTTTTCAACTAACTTTGATAATGAAATATCTTATGGGGAATAAAGAAAACTCACCACTTTGTTTTAAACTTTTAATAAACTTTTTCTCCTTCAAATATTGCTTATTGAATGATTATCTAAGAAATTTAATTTTTCAAATCAATGTCATAATAAAGTCTAAAATTGTGTATGCAGTACTGCAGTTGGGATTTTAACATCTATATAGTTAACTATTTATTGATTTATATTTTTTAAATGTCATAACATATATTTACCTCTGTATTAAAACCAAATTCTAAAGTTCCATGAATGAAGGAAAAAAATTCTAGGAAAGTTTATACAACAATTAACTTTCTAAAATAATTGGTACAATTTACCATCCTTATTTAGATCTGAAAAAATGTAACTGCAGCTTAGGTTTTTGGAAACATTGTGTGTGTATGTTGTTATAGGGGTATAGGGAAGAGGAAGAAGTTACAAATAGACCTGTGTTAAAAATGTAGCACCCTAGTACTATTTGTAAAAACCAGCAGGTGGAAACAATCCATTTGCCCATCAACAGATGAATGGATAATCAAAATATAGTATATGCATACAATAAAATGTTACTCTGCCATAAAAAGAAATAAAGTCCTGATACATATCACAACATAGGTGAACCTTGGAAACATTATGTTGAGTGAAATAAATCAATTACAAAAAGACAAATATTGTATGATCTCACTAACAGAAGTACATTGATTGGTTGGTTGGTTGGTCATGTGCCATGGAGTCGTTTCCTACTCATAGCAACTCCGTATACAGTTTGAAACTGTAAATCTTTATGGGAGCAGAAAGCCTCATCCTTCTCCTGCGGAACAGCTGGTAGTTTCAAACTGCCGACCTTGAGGTGAGCAGCCTGACTTGTAACCGCTATGCTACCAGAACTCCAGGAAGTACATAGACTAGGTGAGAATGGAGAGATCAGAGTTTAATAATGGTCATCAGGGGAGGGAAGAAAGGGGAAAAAGAGTATCCTTTGTTTAGGAAACAATGGGTTTCAGTTTATGGTGACTGAAAATTTGGCAGTGGGTATTGGTGATGCATTTGAGTTGTGGTGTTGGAGGAGAATGTTAAAAATTCCATGAACTGCTAAAAGAACAAATAAGTTGAGTTGGAAGAAGTACATCCAGAATGCTCCTTGGAAGCCCGGATGGCCAGACTTCATCTCTCAGACTTTGGGCATATTATCAGGAAGGACCAGTCCCTGGAGAAGAAATTCATACTTTGTAAAGTGGAGGGTCAGAGAAAAAGAGGAAAATCCCCAATGAGATGGATTGGCACAGTGGCAGCAGCAATGGGCTCAAGTATGTCAATGATTGTGAGGTTGGTGCAGGACTGGGCAGTGTTTTGTTCTGTTGTGCATAGGATCACTATGAGTCAGTACTGACTCAGTAGCACCTAACAACAACATTGGTGATGGCTGTTTTCATGTTGTGACGCTATAAGATAAGCACTGGACCACTAACCACAAGGTTGGTGGTTCAAATCCATCAGATGCTCCTCGAAAACCCTGTATCGGGTTGCTATGAGTTGGAACTGACTTCACAGTAGTTAACAACAACATTGGTGATGACCACACAACATAATTGGTATAATTGTTCTCACTGAATTGTACACATGAAAACAAGATGAATTGACAAATGCTATATTATCTGTGGAATCCTGGTGTGGCACTGTGGGTTAATGCGCTGGACTGCAAGATTGGTTTAAACTGCAAGGTCAGCGGTTCAAGCTCACCAGCCACTCCTTGGAAAATCCAAACAGGGTCACTATGAGTTGGGACCAAATTGATGGCACTTAACAACTACTACAACAACATATTGTCTATTTTTACACTATGTAAGTATCCTTTGGTAGGCTTATAATTTGATGAGCTCTTTACCTTTTTCTCAATATCCAGATCATAAGATGACAAAACCTGTTGTTTTCTTTTAATAACAGAGTTATTAAATCTATAAAACTTCTACCATAGAAAACTTTAAGGTAGGAGAAGCCAACAACTACAAATACCTTCAGAATGACAGCTGTAGTTGTCCTTTTACAATGACATCTGTTGATTTTGCAAAGCAAAATTCCATGCTAATTTTGTTTCTGTTATCACTGATTCCTTTCAAATCTATGAATATTTTAACTTTCAAATCTGTGTTTAGTTTATACAAAAGTGACATGCCTTCTACTTATTTCCTCCTAGTTCCTAATAAAGGTTGGCAGAAAGCCTATTTGGTATAAATTTGTTGCATGTATCTTAAGGAAACCTTTAAATCCCTTTATAAAGAATTTTAACATTGTCAGATTTCTGGAAGAGTGATGTTTCAACACTATTATCACATGTAAAAATGAAAAACAGTTAAAAGTCAAACCCATAAAGTCACAGCCATAGAAAGTATACCCAATAGAAATCCTCTTGGAATTCAAGAAGAAAAAAAGGAGTGAAATTACTAAATTAACTTATTCTTACCCAAACTTTATCTTTGGAAGTTTGAACTAACCAATATATATATATATTTTTTTTTACTTAAACATTATTCTCATCTATGCCTTGAAAAATCACCTTTTTCCTATAGTCTTCTTATTGTATTGGATCATGTAACATTTATTTTTTTGTATCTTTTTAATGTAAAGGACTTGTCAACTGTTAACATTGTAGACGGTGAATCTAATGCCAAATATGAAAGTAAAAGTAATGACACTCTTTATAAAGAAAATGATGATGAGTCATATGATGTTAAACCTAAAATTACACGAGAAGAAAAGCATTTCATGTGTAGTAAGTATTAAAAATGATCATAACTGTCAAGGTTATGATGTCTTAACTATAATAAACCAAATGGTCAAGAATTACTTAAAACAAAGATGATAATCTAAGAGGACAAAAATACTAGATTAATGGAAACTAGATTATATCTAGTGTTTTGAGGACCTGGCAGACTTTTTTTTTTTTTGTTACAATGATATCTGGGTCATTTTATCTACATCTTTATCATCCTGGGTAAGAGGTTTTATGTATTTGGCACATAGTGCTTAGTAAATATTTGGTAAATTAATGAATCCTACCTCTGCATAGCCTTGTGACATCAACTGACCACAGATGGGTGAACCAAAGCATACTGACAATAGTATCATACCAGTTGTACTAGGACTATTTTCTTATTTTCATCTGCACCACTAAAAATTTTTAGTACAAGATAGGGGATACTGAAAACTAATACATCATACAAAGCAACTACTATAATAGGTATAATACAAACTCACAGCTGATTTATGGTTGTTGTTATATGCTGATGAGTCGATTCTTAGTCTTAGAAACCCTATATGACAGAGTTAGAACTGTCTCGTAGGGTTTCCCAGGCCAGACTTGGCCTCTCATACTCTGGACATATTATCGGGAGGGACCAGTCCCTGGAGAAGGACATCATTCTTGGTAATGTGGAGGGTCTGTCAATTATAAGAATTTTGAGTATTCTGTGTGTGGAGCTGTGAGATAATGCACTGATTGAAGCTCCCGGTTTGAAACTCAAGGTCAGCGGTTCGAATTCACCAGCAACTTCTTGGAAATTTAGGGTTGCTATCTGTCAGAACCTACTTGACAGCACTTAACATCAACAAATATCACTAGAAAGCATAGTTTCATTAATAAGTGTTAATCCCGAGTAAAAGAAAAAAAAAATACTAACTGTAATATGTAAGTTTGAATATTTAGATAAGTGGGATAGATGATTGTGTTTATATTTATATAAAGTGTTCTGGTGTGGTGCTGCAGGATAACCACAGGACTGCTAACCGTAAGGTTGGCATTCCAACTCAGCAGCCTCTCCTTGGAAACACTATCCAGGGTCTCTATGAGTTGAAACTAATTGATGGCATAAAACAACAACAACATATTCATATAAAATCATGTGAAATTTTATATTTTCAATTTTTCCTGTAATAATATTGTATTTAGCAGCCATTTTAATTATGGTTTAAGGAAATCTGCAAAATTCTATTGTTTCTTACACACGGAGTACCAAAAAACTACTAAGAAATATGATGGATGAGCAACAAACTTCCTTGGATTATTTATCCAATCAGGTATGGAGTTTTTAGTATTGTGTTATTATTGCATGTGCACATGGACATATAGCTCTTTGAGGTACAATCATTTTAATTCTATCATGTAATCATGTTCCATTTAGTGTCTACTGAGGGGTATCATGGTAAGTGTCAGGCAAACAGAAAACCCTATGAGTCTATCCTGAAGAGATGGACTGTTTATGGGAGCAAACAGATAAAAACATTACTGCACTGAAAATGTATTTGCGTCATAAAAGATGAACAAACACTTCCAAGGTTACAAAAGGTTGGGTGAGAGGGGTAGTACTTGGAGCTGGTGTAAAGTAGAGCAGGGGTGGTGTGGGAGGTGAGGGTGAGATGTGTAAGGAACATTGAGGTAGGCAGGAACTGTTAATTCATACCATACCTTGGAAGCCACTGAAATATTTGAGCAGTGAAAAGAAATGATCAGATTGGCAACTGGTGTGGAGGATGCTTTGGGGAGGGCAGAAAGAAGCAGGTGAGACCCAATAAAAAACTATAGCAACGATCTAGGCAAGATGTGAAGAACAGGTGCAGAAAGAGAGGCAGATACAGGTAATACTAGGGAGGTAGATGCCATTGAGCTTAATGTTTGATATTAAACTATCTATGCCTTTTAGACTTTGTTAAAACAGGAAGGGGATCAATTTAGAAAAAAAAATGCATTACTACACATTTCAGAGCTGCATTTATAAGAGGCTTACAGATATTATAGAATTCAGCTAAACATGGTTTGTTCAAATACAAATTTGCTTAAATGTGCATGTGTGTGTGTTTAGGTAAATGAGCTCATGAATAGAGTTCTTTTGACTACTGAAGTTTTTAGAAAACAGCTGGATCCTTCTCCTCACAGACCAGTTCAGTCACATGGTAAGAACATTGATATTTCTGTCTTTTGTTGCTTGAATTTTCTTGAACCAAACCAAAAAATATCCGTAAGCACCCAGACCCAAACTTGTCGCCATTGAGTTGATTCTGGCTTATAGAAACCCTATAGGATAGGGTAGAGCTGCCATGGGTTCCGATGATATAAATCTTTACAGAAGCAGACTGCCACATCTTTCTCCCACCGAGTGACGGAGGGTGTGAGCCACCAAACTTTTACTTCTTTTTTTCCCTGAGCAGGTTCATGCATTTAAAATTTGTTGTTGAAAACAATTAATCTCACTATTGTGGATATCTGGCAGGGTAGACAAGCAACACCTGCCACTAAGCAACTTACATTGCATGGCCTTTCCTAAATTGAGAAAATTATCTGATCATTAGTTATGACTGCTTATGATTTTCTAAATCTGTTGAAAAGAGCATCATTTTATGTAACTATATTCTAAACTCTGTTCATATTTTACTAATAATTAATCTCCAGTTAAAAGAAAAAATTCCAGAGTTCCTCTTACCTGTAAAAATATTTTTAACATGTTCAAACATTTGTCAATTTGGATAAAATATTTAAAAAAAGAAAAGACACTTAAGACAAATCAGAAATTTTGTACTAAAATACAGTATAATAATTCATAGAGGCTTGGGCCTCTAAGAAAGATGCCTAATCATCCTTATAATTTATAAATTCATGCCAAAAAAAGAAAGTTCCAAGCAAATAAATATAATAGAAGGCCTAGTACATGATCTTTCTTTTTCCTTACAAAAGAAAGGGAATGAAAATTACTGAGAATATCCTATGTGCACATTCATGTTTGATTTTCTTATCACGTTTTTGCCTCTCATTTACTTCCTATATCTGTCCCTAGGTAGACAGCATAACATGGCATTTAAGAGCAGGTACTCTGATGTCAGATCGCCTAGGTTCAAATCCCCCATTCACTGGTTCTTTGACCTTAAATTCCTCACTAGTAAACTGATTATCTGCAAAGGAGATACTATCAGTTTGGGTTTGGAGAAGGATTAAATAAGTAAACATGAAACACTCTTGAAATGCTGCTATTGTTATTAAGTGACGTTGAATCGATTCTGACCCATAGGAACCCTGTATAGGGTTTCAGAGAGTGGCTAGTGGGCTTGAATCACTGTCCTTGA